GGTTACTAACGGATTTGGAGATACAAACAAGTATACCCGTCATCTTACATTGTGACAACAAGGCTACCAATGACATAGTGACAAATCCTGTTTTCCATGAGAGGACAAAACATATTGAAATTGATTGCCATTCTATTCGAGACAAAATTCAAGAAGAGGTAATCAAGACAAAGCATATCCGAACCTCAGAGCAACCAGCAGACATTTTCACAAAGCTACTATGTAGTCGACAACATTCATATTTACTTCACAAGCTTGGAGTTTTTGACATATACAAACCATCAGCTTGAGGGGGAGTGATGTAATATGGAAAGAAGATTATTGCTACTGGAATTATATGTCCTGGAATCAAGCAATTGACATGATATCCAGGAGTGACTTTTATTGAAAATATTCTGTAATTACACCATTTGATTACATTCCTTGTATTGCATTTACATTTTTTGTATAAATTCACACAACACTATAAACTCAAACATACAATAAATACATTTTTTCTTCTCTTTTTTGGCATTCTTCAGCAACTACAGTTGCTCCTTTTGCCCCTTCTTGCTCATAATCTGCAGTTTTGTTTAAATGGGTAAAAATTATGGATTTTGTTGTGCGGTTTGTGGTGGATTTTGTTTCAAATGAGTTGTTGTGCTGGATTATTGATTTGAATATAACCAATGCATGCAATTTAGATTGATTGTGTCTGGTTATCTAATCCTGGTTTTCTTTTTCAATTTCATTGTTACAGGGTTTTTACTTTTTGTCTCTAGAATTTGTCATTTAAGTGGATTGTGCTCTGTTTAATTTGAAGAAAGAACTGTCTATGGTTTTTTCCTACTTTACTACTTTTGTTCCTCTACATAATGTGGCTCTTAAAGGTGATTGGAATTCACAAGAGAGTGATTTTGAATCCACAAGCAGTACGTGCCAAAATCACAAGAAACCAGGAAACTTCTCCATTTTGCTGCAAGAGCTACACATACAGTATTTGTCCAAGAACTTGTAAATATCAAGACACCTGAAGATCACCTGGCGCTGCAGAACAAGGTTGGGAACACAGCTCTCTGTTTTGCTGCCATATCTGGAATCAAGAAGATTGCATAGGTGATGGTTAACAAGAACAAAATGTTGTCATCGATTTTTTGCAGTAAGGGAGCAACAACATTGTTTATGGCTGCTTTCTTAGGCCACAGAGAAATGGTCTGGTATCTTTATTAATTGACAGAGGCAGAGTATCTAAAAGAAGAAGATCAAATTGAACCTCTTGTTGTTGTCATTAATGCAGGCCTCTATGGTTATTCACCTCTTACCTTCACTATTTTCTTGTAGTTTTCATGAAATCTCATTCATTGTTGCAACTTTATATCTTCTTGAGGAGCAAATTGATGATGATTATGTTGTGTTAATTTGATAGATGTGGCCTCGGACTTAATTAAACATCATCCTGAATTAGCTTTAGCTCGAGATGGAAAGGAAGAGATGACTCTTCATGTATTGGCACGGAAGCCTTCCACAATTGTTAGTGGAAGTCAGCTTGGAATTTGGCAGAGGTGCATTTACTCTTGTTAGGAACTCCATTACTGCCCATTCCTCACCGCCATTACTATTCTGCATTACCCATTATTTGGTTGTTTATTCCTTTTGAAAACAAAAGGAACGTTTTGGATAAAGGGGTGACTATGTCCAGCACATTCAGTTCCATGCTTCAGGGCAATCCTTGACAAAAAGTTGATGTTTGCTGCAGCCTTCACTTTGCCAGGTGGAAACAACCACCTTACAGGCATGCCTATTTTTCTACATCACAGATCATTTTTGGTTTTCGCCATATCGGATGTATTGGCACTATTTTGCTCCACTAGAGATGACTCTTCATGTATTGGCACGGAAGCCTTCCGCAATTGTTAGTGGAAGTTAGCTTGGAATTTGGCAGAGGTGCATTTACTCTTGTTAGGAACTCCATTACTGCCCATTCCTCACCGCCATTGCTCTTCTGCATTACCCATTATTTGGCTGTTTATTCCTTTTGAAAACAAAAGGAACGTTTTGGATAAAGGGGTGACTATGTCCAACACATTCAGTTCCATACTTCAGGGCAATCCTTGACAAAAAGTTGATGTTTGCTGCAACCTTCACTTTACCAGGTGGAAACAACCACCTTACTGGCAGGCCTATTTTTCTACATCACAGATCATTTTTGGTTTTCGCCATATCGGATGTATTGGCACTATTTTGCTCCACCACTTCAATATTGATGTTCCTCTCCATTCTCACCTCGGGCTATGCAAAAGAAGATTTCCTGCATTCATTACCAAACAGACTGATGATAGGGCTTGCAGTTCTCTTTGTCTCAATAGCCACCAAGATGGCAGCATTTGGAGCCACTCTTTTCATTGCTCTTAGTGATGACTTTGCTTGGGTAGCTATTCCAATGGCTACTACTCCAATTCCCCCTTCTTTCTGATGTGATTAGTCATTTGTATAATTCTAGTCCAAATCATCACTTGCACTAGTTCATTGCAAAACAATCTTTTTATTTAATTTATAAAATCATGAACAAATCCGGGGAACATTTAATCTAATTGCTCTTGCTTAATCATTCAAACGTAAAACTTTTGATATCTGGTGTCTGCTTTACTTGACTTAGAGGTCTTTCTTTATGAGTCAATATCTGTAATGTATATACAGTTGTTAGGGTCAAAAACATTTTCGTCCATATGGTATCGGTCAACTTCTCAAGGACATCTTACTCTTTTACTTTCAAAATCGTCCTTCAAACTCGCAAACGTTATTAAGAAAATTAACAAAAAAAAAAGGATATATTCGTCCGCTTACAGCTAATTAAACTTTTCAGATATAATATAACGAAATATAAGTTTATTTAAAAAATAAATACATAATATATATATCACCTAAATTCTAAATCACCGCGGCAAAAACCCGGCAGCCACGCCACCCCTCTCGTCTGGCCACCACTCTCGACCAAAAACAACGTCATATCTATTGATTTCCATGACTCACCCTAACCCTTTAAAGCCAACAGCTTCACGAAATTCTAAATTTATAATTTTTTGTATAAAGTAAAAAAAATTTCAAAATCAAAACTCAAAATCACCAAACCCTATTAACAAAGGGTCGGGTGTGGTGGAGATGCGACGGGAGTGGAGTGAGATGGAGGTTGCGAGGTTCGACATAACGGGTGGGTTATGGGCAACGAGTAGGTTGCATGGGAGAGCGGCTGTGATGGGGTGGGGCCGTGGGGGGCTGGATGTGCATGACCTGCGCACTAGCGGAGTCGTGGGGCAAGTGAAGAAACGAGTCTGATGGTTTTGTTTAAATGGGTAAAAATTATGGGTTTTGCTCTGCGGTTTATGGTGGACTTTGTTTCAAATGAGTTGTTGTGCTGGATTATTTATTTGAATATAACCAATACATGCAATTTAGATTGATTGTGTTTTTGGTGGAGGATCTAATCCTGGTTTACTTTTACTCTTGTAGCTCTTTTTCAATTTCGTTGTTACAGGGGTTTTAGCTCTGTAGTTTGTCTTTTAAGTTGATTGTGCTCTGTTTTATTTGAAGAAACAAACTCTGTTTGTGGTTTTTTTTCTTTTTAATTATTATTTCAAGTTTTTCTCAAGGGTTATCTTGGCCTTTGTACAGATAATTTTGTATTAGGTGACAAAATACCTAACAGTCAGCCAGTAAAAAATTAAAATAATTGAAGTAAAAAATTAGTTGACAAAATACAAAAAAGTTTGAATTAGTTGTTTTTCATGGTTGTTAAATATCATCTTGCTGTTCCTTCAGCCTCAGTATATGATATTATTTCTCTTACTCTTCAGGCCCTTACTTCTAAATAAGCTAGCTGCAGATTGCATCCAAGGTGTCAAAAGCGGTGAGTCTTTCAACCCATTTCTTCTACTTCTTCTTCTTTGATTTGTGGAGTCTTAAGTTAAGTTCATTAATTTGTATTTTTCAGTTTACTATATCTGTCTACATTGCCAACATATTGATGATTGAATTTATAGTAGCTAAGATCTAGAAGTACTTGACATAAATGATTGTTATTCTATAATATTCATTCCCAATTTGAATCCAGTTTAGCTAAATCTTCGAACACTCATTCTATGAAGTCATTATGAAGTCAAAGATTTTATTTATTTTTTCTTTCATCTTTACCTAGAAAATCACTTCTCTCTACGGAAAAATTACATTTTCTCCCTTGAGATTTCTCATTATTAAACAAACCCACATGTTTCTTTATGGACATGACCCGATCCATTAAAATGGATTGAAATGATAGATACTCGCAAAAATGATGATGATGATAATAATAGTAATAATAATAATAATAATAATAACATAAGGTTCATCTTATGATACTAAATTCATTGTCTAATACTAACACATTGTAAGGTTCATTGTAGATTTACCACAAATAACGAGCAAATAAATAATGAAGGATAACATTGTGTTAGGAAGGACCTCAACTGAAGAAAATATCGAGATTGTGATTGCTCCACCTTATAAAAAAATGGATGGTTCGTTTTTTTTTCCCTTTGTATATTAAGATACATTTTCTGAATACCCTTTTACAAATTTCATATCCAAGGGCTAATGTGATAGACACTTCCTAAGTTTGTTAATGTCGTTGATTTCTGATTATATGAACTTTTGTGTTTTTTGATACTCTAAGAGGTGAAGTCTTTTTATTATATGATTGTAGCATCATAATTTTGATAAGTTCATATGTCGGCTTATTTTCTCAAGTAAATAAAATCGTAATGTGTTTCATTGGATTAATCAATATTATTTTTTCCCTATTGGATTTTGGCACAAAGCTTGCAAGGTTGTTGTGTGAAACGAGAAATAGACGCTTCATATTGTATCGGGCTGCACTGGAAGGTGATTGGAACAGAGCTGAAAAAATTTACAATGTACATAAAGTTGACCTAACTACCAAGCTATCAAAGGAAGGGGACACAGCTCTCCATATTGCAGCTGGCAAAGCACACTGGTTTTGTGAGAAAGCTTCTTGAACAGATGAAAATAGAGGATTTAGCTATCAAAAATAATGCCGGTAACACAGCTTTTTTTCTTGCTGCTGCGTCCGGAGAGGTTGAAATCATCAAGGCCATGATGAAGAAGAATGGAGACTTAACAAAGAACCTAGGTAATAATGGCATTTCACCACTTCACAAGGCAGCTCTGATGGGAAACAAAGAGATTGTACAATACCTTTATGGAGCCACTCAAGATGAAATATTAGATAATGATAATGATCGCATCGAATTGCTTATCAGCCTGGTAAACCGCAGCTTGTATGGTAAGTAGTATTATTTATATTGGGCCCATTAGACTTTTAAACATCCATTGGTAGCATAAATATCTGACGTGATAGTCTTGTGGTATTCTAGATCTTTTCCTCCATATTAATTTTGGCTTGGTGAGTACAAGTTTGAAAATGGCTTTTATTGTTTGATCATATTGGTGCAGATCCAATTGATATTGTAGGGTATAATCTATATTTTTTATGATGTAGATTGTTGTATTACTAGATATTGCGCTGGATTTGGTACAGAGGCACCCAGAGCTAGCCACTGCACGAGATAAAAATGAAGAGATAGCATTGCACTCCTTGGCTCGAATGCATGTATTGACACGTGTTGTTGATCTAACAGCACATGGAGTTTTGAAGAAAATTTTTAATATGTGTTAGTCCTCTCTAATCTTTAACACCTCAGAATGTTATAATTAGTTCTTATTCCTTTTTATTTTTTTATTTTTTACCATAGAATTTATATTTCCATATATTAGACTTAAATATTAATGTTGCTCACCTATTATAATCTAAGTTTAAAGTGTGGTTACTTAACATGGTATTAGAATGGTATTGAAATCAAAGATCTCAACTTTGATCCTCAAGTGAGACTTGGATTCTACGTTTTTACGAAATATATAAAAGATAAATCCAAGTTTTACATGAGGAGGTTTATTGGACACTTGACTTTTTAAGTCCAAAGCAATTGTACGTAAAGACAAAAGTGCTTTCATGTTGTTTAAAGCAGATATTAAAGATACTAGTGACACGATAAGGACACTTTATTCAGATTGGGGGAAGCTACAACTGAAGGAAAGGGAGAAACAGAAGGGGAATGAGATGCCGTGGAGGGATCAGGTGAAGGACAGGGAGAAACACAGGAGGAAGGGGCTGGGCTGGAGGGATCGGGTGAAGGTGTTGACATCTCACATTATTTGTGGGTATTTGTTTGCTTTTTTTTTTTTTTCTAAATTATTTTATAAATTGATATGACAAGATTTTATATTAATTTTTTGTTTAATAATTAGGAATTATGCAAAGTGAAAATTAAGATATCTATGATGCACTGTCCCGTCCAATAAAATAAAAAATTTTAATTATGAATGTAAAATCTAGAGTTGAACTTTCGTTTGCTAGAGTTCTAAGTCAGGATTTTATAAAACATTGAAATGTAGAGAAGGGGAACTATATATATTGGTGTACTATTTTTAAGCATCAAACTTTTTCTTTCTTAATTATATTCTGCCAAAATAATTTCTCACTGGGTTGTATTGTATTGTAGCTATCTTACATTCTTGATTGTACATGCGGAGTAGTTTTGCATTTTTTGGTAAACAAATGTTGGCTCAAGTCATATTTGCTTTTTCATTTGCCGGTGAAGAGATTCCTCAATCAGCATTTGAACTTATCAAAGGCTTTTGGAAACAAATTATGCTTTTGGATGACTCCAAGATTTCAGAAATTATTAGAAAACCCTGGCCACTACTGTTTGAGGCTACAAAACAAGGAAACCTTGCGTTTCTAAACATAATTTTTGGTGCATATCCTGATCTGATATTTGAAGTTGACGAAAATCATTACAGCATATTTCATTTTGCTGTCCTGTATCGCCACCATAAAATCTTCAAAATCATACATGAGAAAGGATCATTTAGGGATTTGGTAATCCAGACCACAGATAAAGGAAGGAACAATATCTTGCGTTTAGCTGCAAGGTTACCACCACCTGATAGGCCCAATATTGAATCAGGAGTAGCTCTGCAACTGCCGGAGAAGTTGTGGTTTAAGGTGAATATTAATTTACCATATGCACACGATTTTGTTTGGAAAAACATTATTTTTTTCTTTGAACTTGATTGATTAGATGTTCCTCAACCAACTACCGTAGGAAGTAAAGGAAATTTTGCATCCACTGGATGCTGAAGCTACAAATGTAGAAGGGAAAACAGCTAGGGCTATATTTACTGAACAACACAAAGAGTTAAAGGATAAAGCTGAGAGATGGATTAAGGATACTGTAAATTCATGCTTGATGGCAGCAACAATTATTGCCACTGTGGTTTTTGCAGCAGCTTTGAAAGTACCAGGCGGCTCCAAAGAAAAGACTGGGACTCCTCATTTTGTTCGAAGAGCTTCCTTCATAATTTTTGCCATATCAGATGCCGTAGTGCTAATATTATCCTCTTACTCCATATTAAGGTTCTTATCTGTTATCTCTTCCCGATATGCAGAAGAAGATTTCATTTCGCCATTACCTCTGTTTTTGGGTTCTGGATTAGCAGCACTTTCTCTATCAATATCAGCAATGATGGAAGTGTTTTGTGCGACTATGTTCATTGTCTTCAAAGATGGGATGCTGTGGATTCCTATTCCTGTTACGGTAATGGCTTATTTCATGAGCTTCATGTTCTTGGAGAAAGTTCTAACTATCATTGAAGATGTAGTGCGTTTTAGCAATAATAACAGGAGTTCACTCTTCAAGTCCTCTGCTGAAGAGCCTTTTTAAAGGTGGGAAGAAACTCGATGTACCTAACAATTAGAATAGTACTTAACAAGGGCGTATTGCGCGCAGAATACGAGCCAAGGGCCCTGTTGTGGACCGCCCAGCACTCGGGCGCTTTTATCTTATAGTTTATGAGTTTATATGATTAGAGCCATGTCTCGTACAAATAAGAGTGATTCTTCTTATGATGAATGCTACTTATATTTTAACTTTATTAGTCTTTTGGAAAATTAAAAATACAATAGAATATTAGGATGGAATTTTTAATTCTATAACCAAAAGCAGCATTTGTAGTAAGATGTGAAACGTAAATCATAAAAAATTGAAAATTAATATTTAAGTGAATAAATCTTATCAAATATAAAATTATCTTTCTTGTACTGAATAATATTATTCAATAATTATTCATTTTATTAAAACTTAGAAATTTATATTATTAGAACGCCCACAAGTACTTTCTAATCAAGGACAATGTAAATTATTTTAAGATAAATGATTCTAATAAATGAAAAAAAAAAAAAACTTAATTTACTGACCCGTTTACGTACCATAATCCTATTTTCCTTTACATCTTCTTTCACTAATTATGCACTATTAATTAAACATCAAACTCCTTGTCAAGTTGCATGCTAAGGATGTAAATTTGAAAATCAATAATGAAACACAAGAGTTCTTTGCAACATAATAAAACAGGAACAAGTGTTACATTGAAGTAATCTTTCAAATTTAAAGATAATTTAAGAAGTATTAATTTAGAACATTTACATAAATTAATAATTGGATATAAAACTTTGAATAATACAATTTAAATGCTGTCATATTTATATATAGAAAAGGTGGGCTGATTAAAGAAAGAATGGTAAAGTAATGAGAAGATGGGGAGCAAGTTTGTGTGTAACTAGGAGATGACAAGGAATAAAGTATGATGTGGGGCAAATCAATCTAGCGTTAGATTTGGTTGAAGGTCGTTTTCTGATGGAAATTCTCCAGTAAAGTGATGAGAAAAAGATCCATCCTGTCAAAATCCTTTTTACCAAATTAGCTGCTGCTTTGTCTGCCACCTGAATTTGATTGAACCTATGTTTTTCTTTACTTAAATGATTGAGCTGCGTATACGTATACTGTATACGTATAAAGCAGATAAGATAAGAAGATTCTAAGTCAACAATAAGGGATTAAGTTGAAGAGAAGGTATTCTACCTCTCAAGTCCAGAAAATAATAATAAAATTGAAGTGGGGCAATTAAGATATAGACTTGTTGGGGTCACTGATATCTTGGAAAGGAAAAGGAAGATCATGAACAAGGAATAATATAACGAATTGCAGAAGAATGTCTTTGTGATTGTAACTATTATAAGTTAAGGAAGGTATAATCAATCAAGCCCCATTAATGGCCCCAAGGCCATATATACATGCTAAAATGTTGAAGATGCATGCATCCGAGCAGCCGATCGAGCACTAAAACTTAAGATAATAGTTAAAGGTGATATATTGATGTCGAAAATTAATTAAAAATCATATGACTCTCTTTTAGAAAGTATCATCACATGTTGTTTTTCTAGTTTTGATTAATGGCTATGGCTCCACTTGTTGATTTGAGGAGGTGTACGCGTTTGGATTTTTCTACTTAATTAGCCCCGCACTTCTCAATAATATCATCTAGCTGCTTCTAATTCAAAGACATCTGTACTATACTTAGTGGTTCTCGGATCTTGAAGCCTTTTTTCAAGTATAATAAGTAACTTTTCCTGAGCCCCACACTTTCAATATCATCTAGTAATATGTATTTTTTTTTTTTTTTTGAAAATAAAGAGAATTGAAGATAGAATATTATTATCTTTTATTGTTCAAATTAATTTGACAAAAACTTTTAAATGTATTATTTAAAAGGTCTTAAGTTTGAATATATTTTTAATCGTTAATAAGTATAGTTACTAGAGTTTTTATTCGGCCAATAATTTTAAAATTCTAAAGGATCAGTTGGGATATGCATAAACTAATACGGACACTCCCATTAATAGAAAAAAAAAAAAAAAAAAAAAAGAGGAAAAGATAGAGTACTTTTAAAATAAATTGACCTTCTTCTAAATCTAGAATAATGCTTTTAATTTAAAATATTAGAAAGAAATGTCTTGGAAAGAAGAGAAAATGTGTTGTATGATGATTTATAATCTTTTAATTTTTTTTTTCATGAACTGTCTTTGAAGATCCAGTTAACTTTTTAATATAGCATCAAATATCATCTTTGAAGAATTTCAAATAAATATGCTTCAGTATGATTTTTTTATATAATATCTTCAAAAGATAAGATTCACATATAATACGAATTGCAAATCTCCTAGTAAAACAAACCTTTACGTTAGCAAGTTATGATGCAATAGTTATGGTTTAAAATTGATTAGAAAATGATGTTATATTTATGGTTTAATATTTTACAAGTGTTGAGAGAGATAAAAATAAATAAATAAATAAGATAGAATTTTTTTTTTTTTTTTTTTAAATCGAAACTAATGTGTAAAGGCTTCGGTTTTTTACTGCGGAGGTGTTTCACTGTTTCTTGACTTGAGGTCATTCTTCATGTATAAATATGATAGCCCTCTTTTCTTTGTGAGTACTTAAGCTTAATTTTCTTCTCCAGTCTCCACACTACTCCACTTACAACTTTCTTTCCAATTTTCCCTTTTCGCTTATTGCATCCCAACCCCAGTTACCCAAAGAGGTAACTCTTTCAACGTGTTTCTCTTTTTTTCATTTCTCCTTCTTTAGCTGGTGGGGTTTTCTTTTCTCGTTATTTTTGGATAATTTCTCTCTGTGTCTCTATTTTAAGTGTATATGATGTGTTGGTAGGGATGTCGAATCATGAAGTCAGGATTAACCTCGCACCAGAGGTTGAGTTACATGCCAAGAAAGATGCGCTTGTGACATCTCCTTCACAAGAACAGGCTGGTACGATTCAATATTACCTTACAAATACATGTTATATTGTTTTATTCTTTAATAAATAATCCATTTTTTGAGCATTATCTAATTCATATTATTAAACTTCTTAAATAATTGCTTTGGTAAATTGATTTGTTTCATTAGCTATTTATTATAAGCACATAAGAAATATCACAAAATGTTAATTAATGAAAAAGTGAGGGATACAGCAGATGCAGGAAATGATTGTGCTGAAGAAAAAGATAACAGTGGGAAATCACCTCTTCCTCAAGACCTGCCTAGTAAGTATTGATATTACCTTCCAATTATTTTATTTTATACTTTTACAGATGCATTATTTTGAGCAGCCTTTCATTTATTTGCATAAAGAATTACGTAGAATGATTTGCTTCCTTACATAAAACTTGTTCTTGTTTCACGTTGACAGATAATCAAAGCATAAATGAAGACTTTAAAAAACTGTACAAAGCTGCATTGAAAGATGAATGGAACACAGCTTATAAGGAAGTTTTTAAAGGAGATCCATTGAAAAATTCAAAATATTTAACAGCTAGGATATCAGAAAAACAGGACACTGCACTTCACATTGCAGTTGCGGCAGAGTCCTCTATGTTTGTCAAAAAACTGGTAAATTTTATGCAGAAAGACGATTTGGCTATTAAAAATGGTGATGGCAATACTGCTTTTTTTCTTGCTGCTGAATCCGGAATGGTGGGATTTGCCAAGATTATGGTTGAGAAAATGAAGAGTTACCAGGTATCCGTGGAGGTGGAGTTGAGGAGATGTTACCAATTCATATAGCGGCGCAGCATGGCCATGAAAAGATGATGGAGTTTCTTCACAGCGTAACTAAAAACATGACAGAAAAGGACAAGAAAAAATTACAAGATCTGACCAATGGAAAAGATTTGTTTGGTAAGCATGAACCATTCCTCATATTCAAATTATGTTTTTTATATACTTTTTATTCAATTAATATTAGTATAATACGTATTTGTCGAAATCAAGAAATATGAATGAAGTCATTAAAATGCATTGAATCAACGAGTAAAACTATACTATTGTAATACAATAGTTTTACCTTGTAAATTTAAATCATAAATTTCTGCTAAAATATTGTAAACCACAAAGTTGTAAAGTCTAGTTTCCTCGGAAAAGTTAGTCTTATAAATTAAATACATAAAATTTCTTACAGGGGAAGCGAGGGTTGATAATGCACCCGAAAATGTGTTACATGAAAAAAATGACGAGCATGTGATAAAACCTCCTCAAGAAGAGTCAGGTATAGAACTTTTTTTATTTCTCCGTATATCAGTTTACATCAAAACCAGTTTGAATGAATTTATTTTTATATTGTATAAAATTTTTGTTAATAATTTTACCTTTACATATGAACAAGAGATACATAGAAAATTGTATAGAGCTGCATTGAAGAATGAGTGGTACACAGCTTATCTGTCTTTTGAGAGAAAGATCGAGAGAAAAATTCAAAATATGCAACTGATATTATATCAGATAAGGAGGACATCGCTCTCCACATCGCAGCTGCAGCAGGTTCCTGTATGTTTATCAAAAGACTGATGAACTATATGACGGTAAAACAATTGGCTATTAAAAATGGCGATGGCAATACTACTTTTTTCTTGTTGCAAAATGTGCCAAGGCGATGTTCAATAAGAATAAAAACTTACCAAATATCCGCGGAGATGATGGCATGTTACCAATTCACACGGCAGCTCAGCAGGGCCACAAAGAGACGGTGAAATTCCTTTATGGTGTCAGTGAACATGAATTAACACAAGAGGATTGCAAGGATTTGCTTCCCCATCTAATTAGTAGAGCTGATTGGTTCGGTAAGCATCCTTTACACGTATAAGTAGACTAATGACATGTCTATATAAACCCAACAAATTACTTTCCATAACCAAGTTTTAATTATTAAAACCAAACATAAATTAAAATTATATATATAATAAAACATTATGTACATGATTGGTAACAAGATTTGACAAAAACAATAACCATCTAATTTTTTGCTAAAATATGTTTTTAATATTAAATTTTTAATTAAAATATTATAAGTATGTTATAGGAATCATATCTTTTGAAATTGAATACATCATATATTCAATTAATCAATAATAGAATATCCTTAGCCTTCAAAGATATCACATATGACTTCTTGATATTGGTTGTTTTTTCCTAGGTTTTGCGAGGGATTTGCTAAAGACATACCCAATTTTAGTCGGTGTTAATTTATTGAACGGGAGGACAGGAAAGGAAATAGTTTTGCATGTCTTGGCTCGAACACCTTTGATGTCTCATGACTTGTCCAATCAAAATCAGGAAGGACTTTTCAAGAGATGTGTTGTAAACTAATCCTAATCTTGCGAATCTAAACACCAATTTAAGATCAAACCAAGCCACAAACAGATCAAGCAATACACAATCAATTTACTGTGGTTCGCTTGTTCTATGTAGAACAAGTTATATCTACGTTGAACTCTAGAATATGAAGCTCGTTGCACTTGGATTAATCACCACAAACAATACAGATTACAAACGACTTCACTCTCTGTCCTCAACACAAACACACATTCACCTAGATTTCCCTTACACCCATAAACCTGCACACTCACTAGAGTACTCACCACCTGAAGGAATTCCTAACCCCTCAACCAAGACTCTTGATAGATTACACAAAGAAAATCAAATGGAATGGCAAACCCTAACCCAGGCTATTTTCGTGCTTTACAGAGAGAAAACAGAAACCTAAAAAATGCATACTGACCCAAGAATAACAGTCTCCTTTTATATCGTTGACCTTTAAAAGTGTTGGAGCCGTCGGATCATGTTCAATCGGAGGGCTGAGATTAACTAGAGTTTAATGAACAAAACGACAGCATTTTTGTTTGGCTCTAAACGACGTCGCAGACTTCACCATTTAACAAGATGCTTCAACAAATGTCAGTATTTCTAATCCTTTAACACTTTTTGATTTATTATCTAAATTCCCGTTTCCATTTAAACCTCTATTGACCTTATAAAATTTGCAGTTTCCGACATAAAGAAGTTGCCCCATGAAAAACTGCCCAAAGAAGCACTTGAACTACTCAAACTCCTTTTGGACAAAGTAGATTGTCGTGACGACTGGATGAATGGAGTAATACATGATGCTGTCAGACACGATAACATTGAATTTTTAAGCTTGATTATTTGTAATTATTCAGAGTTCATGAATTGCAAAGCTAAGGGAGATACAAATACATCTGGCTTAATATTTTCCAATGCCATTTTGAAACGTCAGAAGGATATATATCTTCAAACTGCTAGATGGTATAAGTCTATCATTTGAGAAACAAATACTTAACTATAAAGATGATGAAGGAAACAATATCTTGCATGTGGCTGGAAAGTTGAGTCCACCTGAACAGCTCGATGCTATTTGTGGAGTAGCTCTGCAGCTACAGCAAGAGTTGATGTGGTTTGAGGTAAATTTTTACACCACTCTTTTTTCAATTTTGTGTAGTAAATAAAGTTTTTCTTCTGTTTGTTGATAATATGTTTCATCTTTAATATTATTAAATATACGAAGTGTGTAACGTCGTGGATCCATCGAAAGCTCATGAAAAAAATAAAAAGGAAGAAACTCCAAAAGCTTTATTTGATAAGGAGCACAAGCAATTGAAGGAAAAGGGGGAGCAATGGATGAAGGATACTGCAAATTCATGCATGATTGTGGCAACACTTATTGCCACCGTGGTTTTTGCTGCAGTTTTCAAAGTACCAGGTGGCACCAATGAAGAGTCGGGAATGCCTCTTTTTGCCAATAACCTTTTTTTCAGAATTTTTGTCCTTGCAGATGCAATATCTCTGGTATTATCCGTTTACTCCCTTCTAATCTTCTTAGCTATCCACACTTCCCGATACGCGAAAAAAGATTTTCTTTTGGAGTTGCCAAAAAAGTTGGTGCTTGGACTGTTGACACTTTTGCTATCAATAGCAGCAATGATGGTGGTTTTTTGTACAACCATTTTCATTGTCTTCAAAGTTGAAAAAAATTGGGTTCGTATTCCACTGTGTGTGAGTGCTGCTTTACCAGTCATCCACTTCGCCAAGACAAAGTGGCGACTCCTGTTTGATGTAGTGCGCTCAACCTATAAAATAGGTTCTATTTTGGATGACAAAGGGAAAAAAAAAGGAAGCCTAGTAAGTTTATGAAGGTAATTAGTTTTTAAGCTTTGTTGGGACATACTGAGTGTTGGAAATGTATGGGTTGGGAATGCATGGATGTTTGTTAAGAAGATTATATATATTAATAAAAATTACTTTTCATTTCTATTTCTTTTAAGAATTTATTAACTTGTTTAAGAGAATTGTCTTTAAGTAAGTATTTTATTTTATTTTATTTTATCAAGTATTTACTTACCCTGTTGTTGTCATTATAAAAATAATTTGGTTATGATACGATTCTTAATCGTTGAAGAGAAGAAGAGAGAATTTAGACAAAAAAACAAAGCAACTCAAAGAAAATCAATCAAGACTAAGATAAGACTTTTGTTGGAGTTGTCAATTACTTCAACATTAATGGGTTACGCAGACGCATTCAGGAGTCTCACTGTCAAGTGAGTGAGCAGGGGCCTCACTCCCCGGTGAGTAGGCGGAGCTCGTGGGGGCAGGTCTCGTTGACCAAAATAATTATAACATATTTCATGTTACTGTTTTGAATCGTCGAAAGAAAATCTTCAAACTCATTGACGACGTAGGTCCAACATTTAAGAAATCAATACTTGAGATCAAAGATGTTGAAGAAAACAATATCTTACATTTGCCTTGAATGATGCCACTGCTAGAACGGCTCAATAATGTATCAGGAATTGCTCTCCACTTGCAATAAGAGTTGATTTGGTTTAAGGTAAATATTTGCAGTTTTGTTTTGTGCATAGAAAACAAATTTGTTTCTTGAATAAGATTTTTATATCAAAAATGTAGGAAGTGAGTCAGATTGCGGATCCAAAGCATGCAAAAGCTAAAATGCAAGTGGGAAAACTCCTAGAGATATATTTTATGAAAAGACTACAGCTTTAAAGGATGTAGCGGAAAAGTGGATGGAGGACACTGCAACTTCATGAAGGGTTGTAGCAACACTTATTGCCACCTTGGTTTTTGCTGCAGCTTTTACAATGCTTGGCACCAAAGAAGAGACGGGGACTCCTAACTTCATTCAGAAACTTTCCTTTAGAATTTTTGTCATATCTAACGCAATATGGCTGGTATCATCATCTTGCTCTATACTAAAATTCTTATCCATTCTCACTGCACGGTACACAGATGAAGATTTTCATTATGTGTTGCCTAGAAAGTTGGTTGTTGGATTCTCAAAACTTTTCTTGTCAATAGCGGCAATGATGTTAGTGTTTTGTGCATCTATTTTCATTGTCTTCAAAGATGGAGAGATTTGGATTCCTATTCTTGTTAGCAGGATTGCTTCCTTGCCTGTCAATTTGTTCACCAACCAACAGTGGCGACTTCTTTATGATGTAGTGCATTTCCAAGACAAGTAAACTCTCCCTTTTCGATGCTGATGACGACGGCGAAGAGAAACCATGGAACCTTAAAAAGTGGAAGGCAACAGTACAGTGGACCCTAAATTATAGCTAGTTTTGAATATAACATTAGTTTCTTGAAAGAACAGAGTATATAATATAAGTTTGTTCTGCTTTTTGTGATTGAATTATCTTTCTATAAATGCAGTCACAATTATGAAGTATTCTAATTAAACTTTCTTTCCAGGCTCAAAGGAATTATTCAGTTGAAATTCATACTTGAGTACCATTTTCTTTAGCTTTATCAATTTGTCCAGGGAAGAGTGAAGTGTAACAATCACTTAAACATTAGAGTTGTGAAAGCTTGCACTTAGGATTTTCCTCTTTATTTACTGGTACAGAGAATGGCACTTTAAATTTAATTATTTTTACTACTTGTATTGCATCAATGAAATGCTTCAAAAGCTTTTAGAGTGATAGGATGGCTTGATGTATAATTCTTAAATGTATAACATCATTCATGTTTAAACTAAATACCATTTGGCGCTTTCTGTTTGAAATAGATAAGGTTGATGGCTCCAATGTGGTCTTTCTTGCTTATAGACCCACACTCATCAATATCATCAGCCTGCTTCTATATATAATTGAAAGACATTAATTTATGGCCCCATCTATTGACTTTGAAGTTTTTGTATAATATTGCCCCTGAAAGAGTATTTTAATCAGACAGTCTTTGTCTCCACTCTCCA